TGGTCCATCTCTAAATTAGTTTGAAGCTGTTTCGACTTTTCACTTTGGCTTTGAATACATGCAGGAGGCACATTGCCCTATGGGCATCCAGTCCTTGGTGTGTTTCAGCTTTTAATTTAGTGAGACCAATTCAACTTATTGTGTATTTCATGTTATGGTTCAATTTTATCATTGTTACAGTTTGACATTTTCCTTTGTTCTGGTGTATGCCAACATATTGGAAAAGATCAAATTATACCAAAGGTAACATTGAACCTTGCCTGTTTCAGGCTCTCGGTCAGTGGGGAGGATCGAAATAGCAGGCAGGCGACGAGCGGGGTCCTGTTCTCTCATTTTCTCTACCAGGCTGCACTCCTCACCTGCCTACTTTTTCGATCCTCCCCACTGACCGAGAGCCAGGAACAGGCTACATTGAACCACAACATATTTTAAAATCAGAGAAACTTTTTTGCCAACTTCCAAGCAAATGAAGCAAGAAGATGGACAAGTGACTTGCTGTTCATCTTGCTTGATGGGAGATATTTCAGTCTTGTCAACTGCATGTTATGCATGCACCTCACTGTTCTCAGCCATTCATCATGAATGTTTTCCTGTACTGCCTTTTTACATCAATAGTGATACACAGTGTACATGTAGTTCCAAAATTATGATTTGAAATCATATTGCATGATCTTTGAAATGAAGGTTGCCTTTTATGATGAAGAAAGAGAAATAATGGCACTGTGCAATAACCCATGGATAACAGCACTGCAGTATGCTTTTCATGATATCCACAATCTCTACCTTGTGATGGAGTACCACCCCGGTGGCGATCTGTTGTCACTGCTAAGCAAGTATGATGATGTCCTGGAGGAGGATGTTGCACGATTTTATCTGGCAGAGATGGTTGTGGCTATTCACAGCCTGCATGTGTTAGGTTATGTGCACAGGTAATCTTTTTGACCATTTTATTAAACTTTGACTGAGACAACTGTCTTGATTACATGTACTGTAGGTCTAGTGATAACTACCTGGGCTGTCATTAAGCTTTGAGTCACCTGTAGCCCTGTTCTCCACACTCGTAGCGAACTTGTTACTCTGTGAGTGAATTCTAGCAATAACTGGCATTAAGGAAAAATCAAGCATTTTCAGACGTAACAGCTGGTGTTACGGGTTACACCTTTAAATGACAGCCCTGGCTACATACAGCTTTCAGTATAACAGATTGTATTGATTCCATGGTTAATTTTTTCTGGGTTTGCCTTTTCACAAGGGATATCAAGCCTGACAATGTTCTTGTTGATCGAACTGGACACATTAAATTGGCTGATTTTGGTTCATCAGCCAGGCTCTCAGCAGACAAAAAGGTATTACTGACATTACTTTGAGTTTTCTTCAATCATGCATGCTGTTTTATCTTACATACTACATGTAGTCTAAAGAAGAAGAAGAGAAGTCTTGGCTCAGTCCTTGGTTCTTCAAGGAGACAGCTTACTCTCACATTGCATGGCAACCTACAGGGCTGTCATTAAGTTTTGATTTATTTGTAGTCTTGATCTTCACATCCGTAAAAAAAAACTTATTACTTTATGGGTGAATTGTGTCAACTACATGTACAGGCAAGTTCCCCGTAACATCAAGGGTCCATGAAGCATGCTCAGCTGTCAGCTGTAATAGTTGTTATGGGTTACAGCCCTGTACTACCCCTACACACACCCCCTCCGCCCCTCCTTTCTCTTTCTGTACTCAGTCTTGGCAATTGTGCTACCCTCAATCAACATAAATTATTATATGACTGTGTCAATTTAGGTGCACAGTAAGATGCCTGTAGGAACTCCAGAGTACATAGCCCCTGAAGTATTGACCAGTATGGATGGATCAGGAGGTCCGTATGGTGTGGAGTGTGACTGGTGGTCTCTTGGTGTGGTTGCTTATGAGATGCTCTGTGGACAGACACCTTTTGAGGCAGACTCTGTTGTAATAACTTACAGCAAAATAATGAATTACAAGGTAAATTAAATTTTTGGTGCAAATGTTATCACAGAAAAGGTGACAAATCAAAACTTGATAAATTTACCAGAGATGAAATGGGCAGTTTGACTTTGAGGTTGAAGGGGGAGCTGAGATGTTAGAGTTGCTGGCTCATCCACTGTTTATTGATAAGTGGCTGGTAAATATAGACACCACCCATCTGTCATGATTTATTACTTCAAGCTGCCTAAATTGGAATTTAGAACTTAACTGTGAATACAAGCCAGTACATATCTCATGCTAGAATGTCCATACCTCCCCCATGGAAGAGGTTTTGTCTACAACGGTCCCTGGTCCCTCCGGAAATTCCAATTAAGCTTCATACATTTCTTTAATTTTTTTGGTCTTACAGAATCCCCAGCACCTCCAGTAAATTCCATTCCCCTCTGTGGGGGGAGTATGGATATTTTCTGGAACCGCACAATATAAATTATTAACAGTGCATATGAACTGACATTTTGAACTCTTTTTTTATTTTACGGTATTAAAATTTATTTCAGACCTCCCTGCAGTTTTTTAAAGATGTTCAGGTCAGNGTTGATCGAACTGGACACATTAAATTGGCTGATTTTGGTTCATCAGCCAGGCTCTCAGCAGACAAAAAGGTATTACTGACATTACTTTGAGTTTTCTTCAATCATGCATGCTGTTTTATCTTACATACTACATGTAGTCTAAAGAAGAAGAAGAGAAGTCTTGGCTCAGTCCTTGGTTCTTCAAGGAGACAGCTTACTCTCACATTGCATGGCAACCTACAGGGCTGTCATTAAGTTTTGATTTATTTGTAGTCTTGATCTTCACATCCGTAAAAAAAAACTTATTACTTTATGGGTGAATTGTGTCAACTACATGTACAGGCAAGTTCCCCGTAACATCAAGGGTCCATGAAGCATGCTCAGCTGTCAGCTGTAATAGTTGTTATGGGTTACAGCCCTGTACTACCCCTACACACACCCCCTCCGCCCCTCCTTTCTCTTTCTGTACTCAGTCTTGGCCAGTGTGCTACCCTCAATCAACATAAATTATTATATGACTGTGTCAATTTAGGTGCACAGTAAGATGCCTGTAGGAACTCCAGAGTACATAGCCCCTGAAGTATTGACCAGTATGGATGGATCAGGAGGTCCGTATGGTGTGGAGTGTGACTGGTGGTCTCTTGGTGTGGTTGCTTATGAGATGCTCTGTGGACAGACACCTTTTGAGGCAGACTCTGTTGTAATAACTTACAGCAAAATAATGAATTACAAGGTAAATTAAATTTTTGGTGCAAATGTTATCACAGAAAAGGTGACAAATCAAAACTTGATAAATTTACCAGAGATGAAATGGGCAGTTTGACTTTGAGGTTGAAGGGGGAGCTGAGATGTTAGAGTTGCTGGCTCATCCACTGTTTATTGATAAGTGGCTGGTAAATATAGACACCACCCATCTGTCATGATTTATTACTTCAAGCTGCCTAAATTGGAATTTAGAACTTAACTGTGAATACAAGCCAGTACATATCTCATGCTAGAATGTCCATACCTCCCCCATGGAAGAGGTTTTGTCTACAACGGTCCCTGGTCCCTCCGGAAATTCCAATTAAGCTTCATACATTTCTTTAATTTTTTTGGTCTTACAGAATCCCCAGCACCTCCAGTAAATTCCATTCCCCTCTGTGGGGGGAGTATGGATATTTTCTGGAACCGCACAATATAAATTATTAACAGTGCATATGAACTGACATTTTGAACTCTTTTTTTATTTTACGGTATTAAAATTTATTTCAGACCTCCCTGCAGTTTTTTAAAGATGTTCAGGTCAGCAAGAGTGCAAAGGATTTGATTCTCAATTTGTGCACTGATAGTAAAGCAAGGATTGGTTATGAAGGGCTTTTATGTCACCAGTTCTTCAGCGGCATTGACTGGAACAACTTGCAAGAAAGTACGTACTTTATCTTTGGAGTCCAAAGGGCATATAATCGGGTCTATGGAAAAGAAAATCTTCCTTACACCAGTTTCCTCCCATTTTAACTTCCATTGGTCCCAAATATCTGCTTAGGTGAGGTGATGGAGGAAGGTTGGTCTGCTTCCCCTAGACGTAGTCCATCTGCCCTTTCCACCCCCAGCCCCATGCCCAGTGACACTTAATCAAATGCTACATTATATATGGATAAGCCTTGTCACGTTTTTGACGCCATCTTGACGGGTAGGCAAAGCGATTAGAAATTACAGTGTTTGTATGGGAATTCGGTGGCAAATAACTTTTTCAAAAACTGAATTTTACACAATTTGCGAATCGCAACGTTAAAATACTAGGTAGAAGATTGTATTCACCAAGTTTGAAGGATGTAGCTTTGCTAAAAGACGCTCAGTTAATTTTTGCAGTTTTCCATACAATTTAAAGTAAAAACTAACGGTGAAAGCGCGCGCCATACAATTGTCTGTAATTTTTTTCCCGCGAACCGCGTCTACCTGGGCAAATTTAGAGAATAAATGTATGGACAATTAGAAAGTTAACTCAGCGTCTTCTAGCCGAGCTATTTTCTTCAAACTTGGTGAATACAACTTTGTACCTAGATTTGTAACGTTGCGATTCACAAATTGCGTAAAATTCAGGTATACTGAAACAGTCTAAGGGGGATTCCCCGGAATCCAGGGGCCCGTTTCTCGAAGGTCCCGAAAAGTTTTCGCACCCGAAAAGCCATAGCAAAATCTCAAACCTTATGATTACAGAGCAGTTTTATTGCACATATTCTAAATATAGAGGCGTATACACCTCTCTGTTTTTAGACACAGATTAACTAAAAATGGCTTTGCGGGCCCGAAAGGTTTCTGGGACTTTCGAGAAACGGGCCCCAGTTTCCTACACCAGTCTAGCCTGCGATTGAGGTTAAAATCAGTGTCAGCAATTGTCTCAGGCTTTCTAAAGATCAGATCCTTCACCCAACTTCATGATAAATTAAATTCTCTGCCCTCGTCCCTTCCCATCTATCGCGCAATTTAACATAACCGCTCTAATCGGGTGTTTGTATGTTTCAGCTGTCCCGCCATACGTCCCAAACTTGGATGGTGCAGCAGACACGTCCCATTTCGATGAATTTGAACCCGAAAGTCCGGATCCAGTTGCGCATCTAGAGAAGTACAGCTTGGCTAGCGAGGAAAAGGGATTCACTGGGAAAGATCTGCCATTTGTCGGTTTTACCTTCTCCAGGAATCTCGCCATCAATCTTCCTTTCTCTCCCAGAAAGTAAGTGACTCAATGGAAATGCTGAAGTCAAAAACGCCAGGCTAATCCGTGGGAATTTAATATAAAGAGGATCAGTAAGAGTAATTATTTCCGGGCTACAAAGCCAACAACGTCCCACTTGATAAACACACGCGCGCGCAGAATTGCGTGCGTGAAAATTTGAGGGCACTTTGGTGACTTTATTAACCAATCAGGATGTTGTAATTTCACAGTTCCTGTACTATGGACGGACAATTAGCATTCTGACTGGCTGGCTTTTTGATGGAATAAAATTTCCAAACTACGCTTATACTTTTATTCGTTTGCTTCACTACACTTGATTTATTTTATACTCGGCATTTGAACATACATTTGTGCTTACATTTACTTCAAATGAAGATATACAGTCATGTAGTTTAGCAATTTTACTGAATATAAGATTTCGGCGAGGTTTGGCATTAAACTCCTAATCTGTTTTACTCATTTGTATAGAGCCGGAAGTCTCCCTAATTCCCCAATGTCGTCGGGATTGCCCCCGAGCCGGTTAGAAAGAAAGCTTACAATCAAAGCAAAGGAACTCAAGGACGCTTTGCAATCGTGTCACACACTAAAGGATGAGAGTGTCTGCATGAAAAAGAGCTTGGATGATCTGCAAACTGCCTTAGAAGAGAAAGCGAAAGCCCTAAGGAGTGCTGAATACGAGAGAGATCTGCTTGAAAAAGAGAAAGTCCTGTATGACACTCAAGTCAAGGTATGTTGAAGATCGATTTCCACTGCTAACAGCCTCTCACCAGTAAATTATTATCGTGCCACATCTAGCGTCTAGGTGCTATTTAATCAAAATTTTGGTTTCGGTATCAACGAGGCTCGTGAGACGGAAAAGAAAAAAGAAATTTGAGATTCGTGTTTTCACTTACATTTGCGGCATTTTTGCAGAAGATTTTCGTGATGTCGGGAATACAATCCTGTTATGGTAAGCTCCCACTAGCGGCTGTAACCTACACGTTTGTCTTTCGGAAAGCGTTCAGCCTTTTTTTGTTCATGAACTGAGGCCGGTGACAAAGCTTACCCACCGACGTCTGTTACGGAAGAAAATAGCGGCAAATGATAATTAAAATAACTTGTGCCTGTTATTGCTGGCAAACTGAAGGGTCGAGGAATGGGCGTATCTTTCGTCACAGCATTGAATTCAATTAAAATGTGTCCTGTAATGGCGTCCCTGGTGGATTTCATGTCTTCAAGACACCCTTTAAAGCGTAGCATCTAGCGTTCATGCCATTTCGCGAGTTTTGAGTGCCGGAAACGTTTAAAGTCGTAATGTTTGTACTGTCGCGAGTTCAGGTGAATTAATTTCGCATTACTGCAATTCTGTGCTTAACAGGACCTGCAGAGAAGACTTGATCTAGAGAGAGTAGAGAGAAACAAGACAGATTCCGCCACTCTTAAATTGTTGTCTGAACTGAAAGAGGACAGTCAAAAGGCGAATGAACTACGAGATCAAGAGAGCAGGTTAGCTGATAAACAACGTTGTAAAAGATTAGCTTTCAAGTTGTTGCGTAATTTCAACCTCGCAGTCGGTCATTAGGTTTTAATAGAGGTCGCTCATCCACGTGGATTGCATTTGGACTCGCAAAGCGCGCGCTCCTCTCTCTCGCACCTTCAATCTCCCGCGCGTTTTAGAGATCAAAAAAGACAAAATTGTATGCTGTTATCCTTAGCAAGGACTGAGGTTGTCACGACATGTCTTCTTCGCACCTGCCTGCAATCTTTCCCCTTTACATAAAAACTAGTTGCCCCTTTTCACGCAAAATAAAGTCGCGTCTGGCGAATGGCGAACGCTTGAATAAGCCTGCAAATTTCCTAACCACATACACTGAGACTCGGATCTCTGGCAAAAATATTACCATCAAGCGAGTGCTCAACGTTGCTGTCTCGTGATCAATTTTTTTGTTTCTGCATAGGGAAAATCTCGAGGACCTTCAGCAGATCGTAGCCCAGCTGGAAAACGATCGATTTATCGCCAGTAGACGGGCACAAAGACTGGAAGAAGAACTCAAATCNTTGCTCGCTGTTAAGACTGTCAATCGTATCATGAAAACTCAAGCAGGGCCCGATTTTTCAAAGTGTGGATGACGCCAGCCATCAGATAAATCATTATCCAGTGAAAGGTGAAGTTGGTTTTGTGAACTCTTTCTCACTGAATAGACATTTGTCCGCTACCCTTAAAACCACCGAGGCTACAGCTTTTGAACGCCGGGGGAAAGCAGATTCTTTCGTAAATGTCATTAAATTTACTTGACTCATCTCTCTACTGTCCATGCTATAAACCTCTAAACGGAGTTTTCCGCCGATCCGGGATATTTCAACGCCGGATCTCCGATCCAGGTTTACGCGGTTGAATAATGGTCTCATGGCGAACATATTCTTGTTCAGTCCTTACAGTCCAACCAAGAAGCGACAGAATTGCTGGAAAATGCGCGGAAGAGCAAAGAGGAACTGCAAACAGAACTAGAAAAGCTACAGGTCTGTATTTATCTGCCTAGTAAAAGAAAAAAAACTGATAGCACGTTGACGCTTAAGTCATTTTGCAACGTCTAAGTGGATGGTTTAGTGTGGTAGAAATCATTGCCATTGGCCCGAGTGAACAGGTGAAGGCGACTTTTCTACGCGTCACTATATCCCATTGTTTTGCCGCGGTTTTGTTGGCGAGCGATATCAAAATACTGATCAGCGATGACGCGAAAAGGAATGGGCCGAGGTAGCCTACTCCCTATTTTTCCATCAGCTTGTCGTTCAGAGTGTTGTAGTCCCACATTGATTATGAACAAAAGATTTCGTTCAATGTTTGTAGAAGTCAAGCAAGGTACCAGCTTCAATGGAAGTGGATGGAAAGGTAAGCTTTGTTTATTCGGAGCATTTCATTTGTTTACCGAAAGCAAACTGTTCTGAGAAAAACAGATCGTACTGCGTGAAAACTCTATCTAACAGAGAGCATCTTGAAATTGTACTCGCAGATTTATTAGATATGTATCTCTGTAGTAGCAACCTCTTACTAACCGAGCGCGAGGGCCGTCCTGGGAAATATTGGCCCGAGATGCTCGCAGTACCATGGAAACGGTCCGTATGGCAAAATCCTAACCTTGAAAGAACCAATCAGAACGCTCGGATTTACCTCAAGACTACCTTGCCATCGTTTTTTGTTTGCTTTCATTTAGTTTTTTTTTTTTTCTTCGCCTTTAGCCGTTTACACCAACGAGGAGATCAGATAGCGCAGTGATAGGACGAAAGAACAAGGAAGATTTAGCACAGGATATATTCAATCGCATAATGGTAAAGATAGGAGATAGAACTGAGAGAAGCTATATTTAGCTTAAGATGGTGTTAGTTAGCTCGGGGTAGAGTAGAGTTAGATAATAGATTATAATTTGATATAGCTGAATAGATTTATTCGTTTTATTGGCTAATGAAGAGGGGTATTTCGCTTGTATTTGGATGAACTGAAACCACATGGTTTGTTTACTTTCTGTAAAGCGAAAAGAAGCAAAAAAGATACAATTTCTGTTACATTTGAGAGTTAATTTCATCACACACCAGTAAGATATGCCTAGTAACAAGATATTGGAACCAAACAATTTCTGTGGAGACGTTTGAAAAAGAGCATTCTTATAATTAACAAAAACAATGTTTTTGCTCATCTCAGTCGTGTAACAATGCTCTACAAAGGCGCGCAGAGGAAAGCGATAACAGTCTGAGAGAGCGCTACAGAGAAAAGTCAGCAGAAGTAAGGAAACTGCAAAGTAAAATCATGGTAAGCTGGATAAAGTTTAGTACATTTATGGCGCATTGTAAGTCAGTGTACTTCTTATTTTTGCCCAGACATTTGCCCTAAATTTGCAGAAAAGGAAAACGTTATCTCAAAACTCCTTCAAGACATTTTGGACATTTCCAGAGTTCAGAATTGAATTTCCGTCATCTCAGTTGACCTTCGTTCTTGTTAATCTGCACCTCTTGTTCTTAGAGCCAAGGGCTTTGTTTGTGTTGTTTACCTGTTATTTCGTTTGGCCAGTTATAGAGAACCTTGTCAACGGTGCACTGTCATCTTGAAATTCAATGATTATGCACAGATTGACGGATGAACACGTTACAGCACGTCTGGTGCTTTTAAAGGACGATAATTGATTTTTATTTTTTGTTTAGGATCTGGAGGATCAGTTATTCCAAAACCAGAGAACACAAAAAAAGCTGGAAAAGGAAGCCACAAACAGACAGGCCCAGGCAGAGAAACTACAGGTAACAGTCCATCTGTGCGACTGTTATCGATTTTCACTCCATTTTCCAGGTCAAAAAGTCGGCTTTTAATTTGTTTCGATCTCATCATTTATGTCTTCAATGTTATCAGGAAACAGAGAAGGAGGTAGACACATTATCGCGCTACAAGAGACAGCTGGAAAATACAAACAGCAGACTGGAGAGCGAGTTAGAGGAAACAAAGAAGCTCATGGCGTCAAGAGATCAGGTTAGTCCAGATGGATGTATCTGCATTATTAATACGCGTACACATGATTTTTCCGCAAAAAATAAAGCATTATCTGTTAGAAGTATTTGCGCAAAACATATCAAGCATGAAAAAATTTTCCCTTATGTACTCACACTTTCGTTTTCTGTCACGTTTTTTGCAAAAACAAATAGACACTTTGCCTCTACTTCACCTTATTCTCCTGCCTTGCCTCAACTACGCCCTAACCCCCCTCCCCCAGACTTCCTCGTAACAAAGTTTCTTTTCTATTCAGAAAATCGATGCCTTGACTGGAAGGTGCCGGACGTTAGAAGAAATGCTTAAGGAGAGTGTTGACCTCAGCAGAACAAGCTCTGAAGCAGATAAAGACAGTAGTGGAATTTCGTAAGTCGTGTGGCTAATCTCAAAGAAATCGTAAGGTCCCGTTTCCATTCTTCTCAAATGAGACAGTGAGACGCGGACGTCTTGCATTTTCCGGGACTGACTGGTGACTAGTCAGCCAACGTCCTGCCCTACAACAACAGAAGCTTTCTGAAATACTTTTTTGTTTGTGCATGTGCATCGAACAACAACAAATAAAAAATGAAAATGTTTGGAAAGAAATTTGTGGACGTTTAACATTACGCGAATAAGGAAAATAGAAAACGATTTGTTTGTTTCAGAGCCATCAATGAAGCAGAATTGGAGAGGTTAGGCGAGGAGAGAGAAGTAATGTCGAGGAAGGTGGCAGGGCTGGAAAGTGATTTAAAGACACAGCAACAGGTGCCAAAAAATGTCTTTGTATTTTGATTTTTTTTCTATGGAAAGTTTGCTTTCGTAAACCACTAACCTGCGATTGAAACACCTTCTAAAAAGAAATGCACCGTAACCCTTCCATTTGCGAGAGTGATTAAAAAAAAATTACTAAGGTTTACGTCTTCCTGTCAATTATCTCCTCCTTTTGAAGGGTTAAGAAATATGTTGTCATTCTGCCATCCAATGGCATCTTGGTTCCAGTGTAAATTGCTAGCTTTTTGCATCGCTGTTTTACTGCAATGGCCGCAACAATTGTTATGAGTAACAGGCACCGGTTTCCCATTCTCAAAGCCTCGCTCCTTCTTTTATGGGACCAGAAATTGATAACACTCCAGGACGATACAAACAAGTCGCAATAAATTATTATTGTTGCATTTCTGACGTTTTCAGAAAAACTCGTCTGTGGAGAAACAACTTGAAGATGCGGAAAGTAAAGTGAAACAGGTACCACATAAAATAAGGACGACAATTGACTATCGACACTTTTTTCGAGTAACTAATATTTCGTGTGATTTGAATTTGCAGCTTTCGAAGGATATGGAGCGAAAGGTAAAAGACCTCGAGACACAACTAAACGAGGTGAGTGATCGGTGACTGATCAAGGTTCTTCTTAGGCTTTTGGCATTCCAGCTTCTAAGCGAAGTTTTAAGGTTTTCTTACGCTACGACTGATAACGAAAGTGCAGTAATTGCTTAAAAACTAACCTTTTATTCTGATTCATAGGCAACCTATCCCAAATAAATGCCCTCGCTTTTTTGGTTAAAATTGAAGGGCCTTTAAACTTCTAAAATATGAATACGGCCTTGACCTACACTACGTATTCTGACCGGTTTTTCATCATTATTCAGCCCTTTCTTGGTCGTGTTAATGGATCCGACTGTCATGATGGGAAATAGGCGGTCAGTTAGGAAGTGTGGCCTGAATGTTAAAAGTTAAAGTGCGTCGTGCAAAAACTAAAGTACCTCAACTAGCAAAGGCATGCTTCTCAGAAAATAGGGAAAAAACAAAACTAAAGGGAGACCATTGCGCAACTGCATTTTTCTCGGGTTCTACCTCGGAAAAACGCGAGTAAGTAGTTCACTTTTAATTTCTCTTTACAGGTTTCTACGGAGTGTTCTACACTAAAGAGCAGTAAGAAGGCACTGGAAGAGACTATCCTTAAACTTGAGGTAATGCAGTCAGCTGCTCTTGACGAACATCTCGCTAAGTCGATCACTTTTTGTTGGCCCTTCCACCTTTAGTCTGTTATTCATAGTAACTTATTAATAGTAATACTTGCGTTCTGTATTCATTTGTAGAATGAGATTGACACGAGAGAGTTTGAGCTAGAACTAAAGGTAAGTCCAACCAAGCTAACAAGGTAGTTTTTTCACTCCTAGCTCGTAGTAACGTACTGTAATGCTCGTTTTCATTAGCCCATGCTATGATGTGTGAACGTTTGCATTCTTCTTCTTCGACCATACCCCTATGTGGGTATAGGGCCAAAAACGTTTGCATTACACGCACTATAAATCCTTCCAGTTTTGACGAGACATATTTTACAAACCGGCAAGTAGATTTATATTGAACACGCATTCCGACACATTTTACTTGCTTCGAGACCTGCACTTCCAAACTACATTGAGCGGCAAAAGTAGTTGAGACACTTTAACAAAATGACGCGGTTTTGAGCCACGGACGTCAACCGGAAGTCGAAACTTCTCCTCTTCGACGGATGTTACTCCCTTTTCGTTGAAAATGTCAGGTTGTAAATGCTAAAATGAGAGCTTTGTAATTCAGTGGTCAGGCATGAAAACGAGCTAAAAGCAAGAACATAAACTTCCGGTTGACGTCCGTGGCTCAAGAACGTCTGTAGGCGCTGTGGTGTGTAGTCTTAGAAATAGAAAAGTCAACATTGTTTGGGGGGCGGGGGGAAGGGGAGGCAATGTTTCCAAGACGCTCGGAAATCGAATTTTACTACGAAGTGTCTCAAAACTTTTGTCGCCCATTGTAGTTTTACCAAGCTTTCATTCCCCTGTGCGTGTATCGGGAGTGTGTCCCTCGTATAACACTGGATTTAACCCAATTTACTTTGGTTTTAGGCCGCTGCTAGGCAAGATAAGATAACCAGGACAATGCAGGAGAATCGCTCAGAAGTGAGTCTCATTTTTTATTTTGTGTTTTTCCTGATTTGACATTATTCTAGGGCCATCTAAATCAGATAACTAGTGGCATATTATCGCCAGAGAATCACATTTGCCATACAGAGTGTTTTCAAATGGCGTCGAGGAGAGAATGTGCATTTATTTCTTTTTCTTGGACAGGTCGCCCAAGAAATTCACGTGCAACTCAGTGAAATGTCAGATCGTTGCAAGGAAGTAGTCTCGCAAAATCAGGTATGTCGCATTCGCCCTTGATCTCTAAGGACGCCGTGTATTATTGTCATATATGCAACCACTCGCTGGTGGCCTGAGTACTATCTCGTCGGTCAATCAGAACAGAGACTTTTTTTGACCAATCAAAACTTATCTTGATGCAAATAGTAAGTGCCTTCTCCGCGCTTGGTACCGGCCGCTTGCATATTTTCTGGCTCTCGAAACGTTAACATGAAATATGTTTTCAATTTCCCGCTTTTGCGGTTACCGTTTTTATGTTTTCCTTGATTGGCTGCGGCTACATCTTTTTGTTCCGAGTTCTGTCCTGGAATTGCGTTACTTCGCCCGTTTTAAACTTCATGTAATAATGTTCTCTGAAAATGTAGGAACTGGAAAAGAGGGTGGAAGAACTTACGGACGAAAATTGCGATCTTAAGATGGCGAAAGAGAAACTTGAAGATGAACTCAACGAGAAGAAGAGAGCAGCGGAAGGCATTGAATTCGTGAGTGATATCAACTCTTTAAACTTAGAGCCAGCGTCAAAAATTGTGTTATTTTAAGAAACGTTGCAATGACGAGTAGAGTTGACAATAGAAATGTCCATTTATCCAAAAAAGCTCAATTCCAGTTCTCTCCTAGATGGTGTTTTTGTTGTGTTTTATCTTTTGTTTTGTTTAGTTTTTTTGGCTTATTCAGCGATGGTGGAAAATTGAGAGGTTGTGAACAAATACACTCCGTTTTCTATTGTTCAGATTTTGCCATTCCCAGCTCTTCTTTAAGCGATCTTTTGTTTTCTCTAATTTAACCTTAACTTAGGCCTAGCTGCTGTTATGCAACTCACCCGTATTTGAATCGCTATGACTTCTGTTCACAGACTAACTCGATGTTGAAATCTACGTGTTCCATGCTGGAGAGTCAAGTCGAAGAGCTGGAAATTATTAACGAAGATTACGAGGAGAAGCAGTTACAGTGGAATATAGCAAGGTATTCTTGCAATTTCTTTTCAGGATTAATTCGCCATCTCTTAAGTTTATCAGACGTGCATTTACACTGAATAGGGCGACCAAATGTCATCCGTTTAGGAGATCTTCGTGAAACCCGAAGTATTTCTGATTGGTGTTAGCCAAACAGAATCGCCTACGAGCACACCGAAAGTTGTCGCGTTAGACTCGTCATATGACGGCAGACTCCGAAGAAAGCGATCCCTAATTAAGGACGAAGTCGATAAAAGTCTTTGATCAAGGGATCGGGATGTAGATCATTTGTGCCGGTTGATTTGCGTGACCCAGTGGATACGTAAAAAAAGACTTCTCGCAGTTTTTCATGAGCATGCCATTATTCAAATCTCCGTGCTTGCTCACTTAGCAAAATTACGATCCCGAATTAGCGGACGACAGAGCGCTAGATATCGTGGCGAAATTCTTGGTGTGGAATGTCTAATTTTGGTGAATATATTATTATGTCTCGTTTTCCAGGAAAGAGTTGGAACAGAAAAGAGAGAAGAGTGATTGTGACCTTTTGGAAGCTCAACGGTCCTTGGAACAAGAGAAAGTGGCGCGGTAGGGCAGAGAAAAAATATATAAAAAATAAGATCGTTTTACTTTACATCGGTGCTTGACTTGAGTAAGGACTCAGTCGTTTCTACGCCTTGCAAGGGGAGACTTTTAAAGAGGAAGATTTGTTAGATGTTGCTCGCGCATTCACTAAGTGTAGGTAGAGTTTGTGTGTGGACGCAAAACGTTTCTGATAAGACGTTTGCTGAATTTCATCGTAGCTCTGGCGCTGAAGAGAAAGTGACCAAGTTACAAGAGGCGTTGAAAGAAGTACAGAATACACATATCAAAGAAGTGGACGACATGAACACGCAACTGGAGAGACAACGAGAACGAACTGAGGAGCTCACAGAGGCAGTAAGTCAACATTTGCGCAGGCTCTGTACCGGCAGCTTGGTATCGCGTGCAGTTTGGTATTGAAACAATTAAAACCGTCAAGATGAACACATTCTATCTCTTCTGCGCAAAAAAGCAAAAAGAAAACCCATTTTAGTCAAAGAACTTTTAATCTCCAGGGCCAGGTTGTTCTAACCCAAAATAAAGAGTTAACTGAAGTATATTTTTTCTTGTATAAAAATGTTTTCACTGCTTATGTTTTGTGTAGTTTGAGATTATTCAAACTCGCAACAGAGGGACAAACAATATAAACAGAGAAACTTACCGCAAAGATAGAAAACTCAAATCAATATACTCACTTATCCTGGGTTAGCTTAATCGGGCTTTGAACAACCCGGCCCTGGAAAGCTCCAAATTTAATCGGCATGTCATATGAAGCGTTTTCTGCTGACTTCTTTTTGGTGTATATATTCTCAAACTCTGAAACTAGTGTTCATATAAGAAATTTTCTTAACAGCTCAGCGAAGCAGAGACCAAATCTGGCATGGCACAGCTCGACATCAAATCCTTGGAACGCAAACTTCAACTTCAAATCGAGGACAACAACAAACTCCAGATCGAGGTTGAGCGACTGACCAGTCACACGTCCAAACTGAAGGCCAGTAACTTCGAGTTAAACCAGAACATCGAAGCAGCCATGGAGAAGTGCGACGAACTCACGTGTGAACGCGCCGCGCTAGCCGAGCAGCTGGATCTAATGGAGGCCTCGCATGCAGAGGAACGCCTGAAACTGGAAGCGACTAATTCGCAGCAGACCAAGCTTATAGACTTTCTGCAATGTAAGGCTGAAGGCCAGGCACCTAAGAAGAAAAAGGTGAGATCATAATAAGAATAATAAGAATGATTAAATGAATTTCAAATTCTAACTGATGATAAATGAAATACTTTGAAACAAATTTAATAAGTATTGCTTTGACTTAGCTTACTGGAGGTACTTTACAATTTTAGATCTTGGTTCAGAAATTAGGTCTAAAAGATTTTTGTAAAAACTGCTTTTAAAAAGTAAACAGAGTTTTACTCAAGACTAAATTATGAAAACGTCGTTATTATCATGTCGCCAACAGTGGCTGTATTCAAACATTTTGTGTATTTTACTGCTTTAATTTATACTTGAGTTCATTAACAGAAATAACAAATTAGGCCCCGTCACGCATCAAACGTTTTTCGCTCACACTACGCTGGAGGAATTTAAAAACGCAACAATCATTGGTCATTTTGGATCTGTGTTTGAGGAAAACACGGTCGGAAAAATCACATGATTATCGTGATGCCATCGTTTTCGAAAAGCTCAATTTTCAAAAAGTTTTCAGTTTACCCGGAAACGAAAAGCGGGCGTTTTCAAATTCCTCCAGTTTGAAAATCGGTTTTGAAAAGCTCCGTTTTGAATTCGTGACGGATTAGTGTGGACGGTAGGTCTAACCGCAGAAATAAAGCTGCGTTTTCAAATTCCTCCGGCGTAGTGTGGACGCTGTTTTAGAGTTTGCCGCATGTTACCACAGTTATTTTAAAATTCGATTTCGCTTTGTAGCTCATTGGCGGTGGAAGCAAGTCATGGCGTAAGAAACCTGAAAACAGCATCAATGTGGTGCCACAGCAGTGGAGAGACTTGCAACAGGCGCTAGAGAAAGAAAGAGCATCTAGCCTTAAGCTACAAACTGAAGTCAACAGGATTCGTCAAGAAATGCAGACTGCTAAACTGGAAGGTATCGCCCATACTTTTAAGTTTCACAAAGAGCTAAGATAACTGACGGGACTGTTACATTATTGGTTTCTGTTAGACAGTGTAAAATCGCAGACACGTTTATCGTAAGTCATGATGTATGGGTTATGGAGCAAAAAAAAACACGAGGTTAAGATGCAAGATGTCTGGTTATTGGCCAAGCCCTCTTTTACGTCAAGTCGCAGCCAAGTTCCACAATAATTCATCTAAAACGAAGCCAATATCCAGCCATCTTGACCTATTAGGCCTGATCCGTAAAGGATTTCGATATGATATGAATCGTCATTTTTCTTGCGGGAAACAGCGGGCAATCCCGAGTGGTCAAGATAGAACAAACCTCCCCGGCTGGGTAGCCAGTCACGACACAGGATTTGATTCATCGTTCCTGCTCGCAGATCGTTTATTTATAGTCCCTTACTCTGGTATTTTCATTTTTAGCTGCGCACTGGAAGTCACAGTATCAAAACACCGGAAATGCCACACCCAAACCTTCCCAGACCTACGCGGTCCTGTCAGCCATCCAACAGTCACCTAGCAACCAACCGAGTCCGTTGAGCGCTCTGAACCAGTCGAAGAATGCAACTGCTACTCCGGCCAGTCGCGGCACATCACACAGGCCTAAAGAAAGAATGCATCATAATATACCACACAGGTATGGCACCAGCAAAAGTGTGGTTGATGCGGTCATGAACAGATCTTGCTGCGTAAAATTGAACAAAGTTGTTATAAACGCATATCGTGGGGTCGAGGTTTTTGTCTGGACTTTCGAGTTTTTCCTTTTGATATCATAAACGCATAGGTTTTCCAACAAAATATCTAAAAATATTGTACTCCGCTTTTTTTTAGTAATTCGTCCCTATCTTCATCATATCATGGTCTTTTTGTCCCTCTTAGTTTATTACATTACAGATGCGACAGATAGCGCGAGATGGACCATTAAAAATAGCATGTTTGTTTTTACTTCTTCAGGTTTGTGAATGCTCTGAACATGCGTGCCACCAAGTGTGCCACGTGCCTAGACACGCTGCACTTTGTGCGACCCTCATCTCGTTGTGCTGGTAAGCTTGATCTTTTTTATTCTGCCTGCTGAAAAACACTTTGAGACACAGTTAGCTAGCCTGTGTAGTAGGCGTAAACGTGGAAGGTGTAGGACAGGCGAAAAATGCAGCCACTCTCTCTTAAAGCTATTATGAAGTTGCTTTGTCGTTGTTTGTACTTATAGTCTTCTAAACTTTTCCACTACAGAGTGTGGCCTGGTATGTCATGTTAAATGTGCACCAAATCTCCCCCGCACCTGTGGCCTACCAAGCCAATTCGTAGAACACTTCAGCGAGACCCTTCAGGAACAGAAGAATGATGAAAATGACAAAACAAAGGTACAGAGCTCCACCAGGCTGGGGGGCAGGAGAGAAGGATGGCTACGAGTTCCACGGTATGACATATAATTTGTCTCAATCATCCCCAGTTTTAACCAATGCCCATCCTTTCTCTTTGAAATTGATTTAAATTGATAATAATAAATGCATCATTTCATCTCTTTGTGAAACCCTTGCGAAAGGTTTTTTTTTTTTTCTTTTTTTTTTTTTTTTTTTTTTGAGATGAAAGAAATTTTTATTCTTGTATCTTCGGAAAAAAAAAAACCAAACTGTTGTGACACAGATTTTTTTCGTAACGCAAGTCCGAGGTACGCTCTAACAGGCCACTCAAACGGTCGCCCAAGACTGATTGAAATATTTCGCAAACAAACGCCTGGTCTCGTTTAACTAATTGCTTCTTTTCAGTTGTGGTTCGGTAAAGCATGGATGGGAAAAGAAGTGGATTGTCCTTGACGATCAAAAATTACAACTCTTCGACAAGGAAAATATGGGAGGTAACGAAGTACATTTAATTTGCCATCGCGGTTTAATTTCGTTACTTTTATTAACAACGAGACGATATTTTTCCCTTTTTCAGAAAACTCGTCTCCATCTGAGATGCTACACCTGTGCGGTAAAGACGGTCACGTGACTGTCCACTCTGCTGTCATGTCATCAGAACTGATGGGCACCGCCCCCACAGACCTGCCCTACATACTGAGGGTGGAGTCACGACAGAGATGCTGGCCTGTTCAAAATCTCTACCTACTAGCGCCTTCATTCCCTGTTAAACAGAAGTGGGTGACCTCTTTGGAGTTCGTATTGGATGAGATTAAGAAGAAAAATAACAATGACGAGGATCAGGTACTCTGTGCAAGTATTTTGGAGTGTGATGGTACAAACGTGTGCTTGATGAGAAAATAATAAGATACATGTACTAGGAGTTCTTGCAACAGAATTTGAACCTACCACTGAACTAGAGGAGACTCGCCATATGGTAACTAGGTAATATAACTGCACGTCCGTTCAAATGGAATAAAATTTCCGTTAAGTAATAGAAAGATTCTAATCAGTCACTGATACAGACTACTCCAGTCAGTAACAATATGAGTACTGGCATTAACTAGATTCCTTGTTCCACCTGCCCTGGAATGTGAAGCCTTCGTGTACGCGGGCTTATGTTGACCTTTCCACGATATTATTTTTTATTATTGTTGCTTTGTAGAAACTTATGGGCAACGTGTTGCTGCATTTAGAAGAAGGTGAACGGCTTGACATCAATTGCACAAAGCTGTTAAATGACGAGGTAAGATACTCTAGAATCCCCCAACAGTCAAGAGAACTGAACGTCACAGCTGTAAAGCCCTGGCCAAACGTTGAAACCTCGGGTCTACTTGCGACTTCGCTTGGCCAGGCCTTGAGTGCACTTGCATTGACTTGAGATGACTTGCGCTTTGGTCGAGATCACATTTGCACGCAAGTCGACACAAGTCAAGCCAATGCAAGTCTCTACTTGCGAGTCGGTTTGGCCAGTACTTTATTATAGTATATTAGATTGGGGATGCGTGTACTGCGCTGCTTTCGGCAAGTTCTCGAAAAGTATCCGGCACGGTTCCGATTGTAATTGTCCAATCAGAGGAGATCTCGAAGAAGACATTAAGTTTTAACGAGGCCTGACGTCATTTTGACACACCATGTTGCTCGGCGAACTTCTTTTCTAAAATACGCCAGGCACGGTCATTTCTTGGAATTCCTTGACACTCCTATGAATTTTTTATGAGATTTGACAGCGTTATTTGCTCTTATTTGTAGTTGGTTCTTCTGGGTGCCGAAGAGGGTCTCTTTTCGTTGTCTCTCGAGAACCCAGGAAAACACTCGCCTCGCGCCATTCCTGGAGTAGAGAGAGCCTTCCAAATCGATATCTTCAATGATCTCAACCAGGTCATCATGATTGCAGGTACGACATTAAAAGTCGCACGATAATGTTGTCACGTGCCCTTTTTCTACTGCTGGATAAGCTCATAGAACTTACACATATTATTTTTAGCTAATATGTCTTTCTCCTTCAGATTTTTGCAGGCTTTCAGCGTTCTAGAAAAGATAAAGATCTCTTATCATTTATTTCAATGGCAGTGAAAGAAAAAGCCAAAGAAGACACGTCTGAGGAATATTTCTCCCTCTTTCCCTCTCAACAGTGTTGATTTTTCTATTTCTAAGACTGCACAGAGCACAGCACCAACACAACATTGAATTGGGGGGCCGGGGGTATCAGAGAATTGAGACTAGAGGAAATTAAGACTTAAGAGATTAAATATCGAAAAGTGTCTCAGCTACTTTTGTCGCTCATTGTGGATATATAAAAAGCGTCCTTTAATCAATATTGTTTGTTTCTTTGCAGGCAAAGATCGTCAGCTGTGTAGCGTGGATCTAAAACAAGTCACGAGTCGAGCGCGACAATCAAACTCCTCTTCACCTCTCACAGAGCTGACTTCACAGGCAATCGAGAAGATCACCAACTGTCATTTGTTCGCTATCGGACAGGTGTGTAAATGATTACATTTATGAGGGCATAGCCATGATAAAGACATTATTTCTTGTGATGGTCAGGGACGTTAATTTGAGCACCAAATTCTCTGTGACTTGTTTTATAGTTTATTAACGAAAGTTAAGCATGGTTGCCGCAGGCCAGGAAATGGGCAGGGGAAAAAAATTCAGGGAAAAGTCAGGGAATTTTATTTTCAGGAAAAGTCAGGGAAAATTGAAGTAATTTAACGCGGCTGATTTAATACCATTGAAGGTTGGAAGAAACATTTGGGGTCACTGTGATCTCAACGATATTTTTCCTTAAAGAAGAAAGAAAATTTTTTGTAAACTTATCCGTCTTAATGAACGAGTAAAACGGATGGCTTCAAGTTCACGCTAGAAGCCCTTACTAGATCTGACATTTTACTTTTTTTTCCTTGGTCAGGGAAATGCTATTTTTATCAGGGAAAAGGCGGGGAATTTTGAAAAGTGATGTCTGTGGCAACCACGTTATTTCATAAATGCCGGGTTCCCATGTTTTAGTGTTGTAAATACGGTATATCAGCATCTAGCTCATGGCTTTTGGTTTTGCTGTTGTTTCAGTGCGACTCTAATTTCTACATTTGTGCAGCGACCCCTAACAGCATCCTGTTGTTACGATATAACGCTAGTATTGGAACATTTTGCACGCGTAAGGTAAGAAAGCACATTTTTCCGTTTGGTAAACAAGAACAACTTTGCAAACTAGAACAGCTCGTATTGCAGTTGTTCTCTTTTCTTTTTCTTTTTTTTTTCCTTTTCATTTTTTTGCGCCTTTGCGGCAAGTTGCACAAACGTTTCTTAGTTTGCTACAACAAAAACGTTGCGAGACATGTATATTTTTGTTCATTTCAGACGGTTTTTCGAGCAAATTGTGTGCCAAAGAAATTTGCGAGACAAGTTACACGAAACTTTAAGTCTGTATGAAGCATGAAGCGACTAGGAAGCGACTAGGAATATTTCCTCTCCCTCTAGATGGGAGAGGAAATATCATCGCAAGGTTACCCCCAACATTAAGGTCGCCGGTACTCATTTATACACCTGGGTGCGCCTCCAACAGCAGTACAGTAACAGCACCTTAATACCTTGTAAGATGCGTTAATTTATCGTGTTTTCAAACAGACAGGAGAAGATACTTGACGTTTCGCCATCTCTTAGTTAAGAGTATTGTTAGCTACCAGTAGTTTTTAACGATTAGCTTTTTTGTACGCAATGCGTGCCTGTTTTACTTGCAGGAGATCGAGACAAGCGACCCATGTAACTGCATCCATTTCAGCAAGAATCACGTGATCTATGGCACTGGCAAGTTCTACATCCTGGACATCAGGCAACACATTGTTAAAGGTTCGGACATAATAATATAACAAGGAATGATTATTTTTCGTCAAAACGAGACGTGACTTCACTAGGTCTACCATTATCTCTTATTTTTTCAGAATTTCTAGATTCTAAGGACCCGTCCTTAGCGTTTGCAGTTTATGGAGCCTCGCAGCTCAACATCTTTCCTATCGCAGTGCTGGATGTAACTACTGCTGACTCTAACAAGGAAGAACTGTTACTATGTTTTAACGGTAAGCTGTCTGATTCTACACTAAAAGCCTCGATACCGCTTCGCGCAACGTTAACGGTGAATGCGAGTTTTCATATTTAGAAATTTTACGTGGCCACAAATGAAAAAAAAAACAACAACAACAACAACAACGAAAGCGGCGACGGCATCGTCTTCCACGCCTTATTTGTGCATTGCTCCCTATCATACTGATTTTAGTTCCCTCAAAATGGACCTCGTAACTGCCATTTATTTCTGGAAGCTCCCTCAAGACACGACACTATGCTGAAGAATTCGCTCTTTCAATTTTAGAGTTTGGCGTGTTTGTAAACAGCTCTGGTTGTCACAGCAGAAAAAAGCCTTTGATGTGGAGCAGACTGCCACTTGCCTTTGGTGAGTACCGACTATCAGTCTCTTCTTGAAATAGGACTTCCTCTCAATGCTATACACTCCTGTTTATGTTAGTTCTGGGAACAGTTTTATACATGTCATTAGTTTGCTTACTTTCATGGGTCTGCGTCACGTCAGTCTGCTAGGATGCTCACCTTTGAGTCAAGGGGTCTGGTGCGAAAGCGCCAAACGGGAGCCTGCTCGCAGACCAGCGTCACGTCAAGTTTCTCAGCTTAACCACTGTAATCCGTCTTAAAACTTCATTTTTCTTTGCCCGTGATCCTTGTCCCTTCCGACATCGATGTTCTTCTACCTTTATAAAATGTTAGCCTGCGGTCTCCCGTGATTTGAAGGCCATTTCGTACCTCATAACAATGACTTCATACATCCTGACATAGCTGTTACGTAATTAAATGCAATACTGATACTCGACTATGTTTTTTTCGTTCTAACAGCTTACAGTGAGCCATTCCTGTTTGTCACTCATTTTAATTCCATTGACGTCTGTGAAATCCCACCAAGCACTGCTGAAAATCCAAGGTAAAAGCGGTCATTTAATTATTTTGCAACCGTCATTTTTGCTTCTGTTTTTTTTCTCCCTCTTCATTTTGTTGAGTCTTTACCCCTTCTTTGATCTTTTCCTTCCAGTCGTTACGTGCACAAGTTTTTGGAAATTCAAAATCCGCGCGTCCTTGGTCCAGCGGTGTCTCCCGGTGCAGTGTACCTCGCTTCCACGTTACACGAGAAGGTCGAGATGCTGTGTTTCCAAGGCAACGCAGCTCCCGCCAGTGTTTTTCAACCCGAGGACGACGACGACAGTATGTCGATCATTTCCGAGCTGTCACGACTGTCGAGCCCGAGCCGTCGATCATCGATGTTGGCTCGTTCACCTTCGTGGAGTCCCGGTTCTGCCCGAGTGAAGTCGCTGAAAGGCGTTATCCCTAAAAAGAGCAGCTCATTTCGTGTGGTGAAACCGCTGACAGAAGAAAACGTGTAACTGCACAGATTCATCTTTTGAAGAAGTTTCAAATCAGTCTGCTAATAGCAGTGGAAAACCAACCTTAACCAACAACTGATCTTTCAATATTAGTAGTCAAACCGCCAGGGTACTGAAATCGGGCATGGAGCCGCTAAGAGGTTAACCGGGTCCGGAAAAAGCTATTAGTTGGAGATTATTAGTTAGTAACAACTGCAATAATGTTAAATCAATTGAAGAAGTTTCTTTAACTTCAACATACATGTAAGGGTTTCAAATTTTGATTTTGTGATTACTCCTCAGTCGGTCGTTCCGAGTTAAGGTTTCTAATCTCGATAGATTTGAAATTCTGATTTGTTCCATTTTGTGCAGCGGAGAAAATAAAATCGCTGAAATTGGCTCCGTTTGAAACCCACGTTTATATATGGTATTTGCCTAGGAAGAAGAAGGAAGTTTTAGTGACCAGGGGCCCGTTTCTCGAAGGTCCCGAAAAGTTTTCGCACTCGGAAAGCCAGAGCAAAATCTCAAACCTTATGATTACAGAGCTGTTTCATTCACATATTCTTAATATGAACAGATGTTTTCAGGACAAGGAGTTTCAGGCGTTCACCTCTCGGTTTCTAGGTACAGATTAATTAAAACTGGCTTTGCGGGCCCGAAAAGTTTCCGGGGCTTTCGAGAAATGGGCCCCAGATCAGTGACTAAAATAACGTATTTTCGAACTAAAAATATTAGTCTCGGTGTAACTTACCATGAAATGTATATAGCAAATCACCGTTAACAGGAAAGTTATCCGTAAACTTTCGAAGCATGGAATAAAACACGTTATATGGGAAAGATACCACTCGAGTGAGTAACATAGACGTAACGTTAGACATAGTAATTTCGTTTCCGCGGCGGTCGCTGAAATAGAGCCAGTGATTTTAGACTTAATTTTATTTAGTGTAGTTTTTGTATAGCCTACCAGTGTCGGAACGGTGCTTTCTTTTCCATTTAGCCTGAGGGGCTTCCTAAGGGAGGAGGAGAGAGGCAGAGAAAGGTCGAGAATCGAGGGTAAATTTACAATCGAACGCGCGCTGCAAAGCAAGTCGTTGTGCTTGCGTTTTGGGTGGTTCAGCGCTAAGAATTCCTAAGCTATTTACCTAAGGACAAGCCAGAGACTTTCACCTGTAGTATGATGGTTTATTCCGTAGTCTTTAATACAGAAAATAAAATAACAGATCATGTAGGAGTTTTGCTTTGTGATGTTTCTATAATTGTATCTTGATTACTATCATGAAAGATTTAATACTGCCCAAAGAGTGTTCAGCCTCCAAAGATTCAAAGCAAAGTTACTTCAATCAGTGAAGTTGACTTTTCTTTCTTACATGTCCTCATTCTTGTGAATTTTGTACCACGCGATCGATTTGTGAAATACTGTAGGCATAAAATCTTCCGCATTTCGAGCCGGAAGGTTTTGCCCATTGGAATGTCTTTCTCAGATAATAAATTAAGAGAGGTAAAGCACAATATTCTAAGCGTACGCAGTCCTATTGAATTACGTGACATTCCATCCAAGATATCTTGGGTTCTCCAAACGGACAAACACCATTTCAGCCCCATCGCACTCTACGGGCTGTGAAGCACGTGACCAAACGGTCAGTGAGTCCATATGACCAGGCCAGTTTGGTAGCTGGACACGTGACACGCAGCGGAAACGTTCTCCAAGTTCCAGCTGAAAGGCACGCGATGTAGTTTGTCCCCAGGGATTGGCCGAGAGAGTTTCGCCGAACAGTTCACCGATGTGAATGATAGTACCTCCTTTATAATTCTTCAGGCAATCCAGAGAAAAAGAACAGTCCTCTGACAACCAAAAAGGAAAAAAAAAAATTTTCTTTTCACTTGATATTTTTGCGGCATCAAATTTTACAAAAATTGTGTCCGCATTGTGGCTCGTAGTTGCCGCGAAATTTTTGTGTGGTAACTAATGGTATCCATAAACAGATCAATTGGTAAAATTACGATAGCCCACAGAACAGGTGGTTTGGCGAGGCAGAACTCGCTCTTTCAGGCGTTTATTTAGTTCGGCGTAGCGCGAAAAAATAGGAGAGAAGCGGTGAGCAAACGTTCACTCTTCACGCCAAGCCTCTCCTTTTTCTCGCTGCCCCGTTTTTTGGCGCTGCGTCACGCCTCAGGAAGAGGCTGGCTATACACAAGCACGGAGGTCACGGAATGTTGCGAGAAAGAAAGTTTCCGACTCGTTACGCGTTCTGCCGCCCTAGCAACCGCCAGTTTTGCAGGCTGAATATGGAATGTTAGCTTGCGAGTACAGTCACTTTTTACCACATTTCCAGAGAAAAGAGTGCAATGTTCTTCGCGCTGCGCCCCAGCTAACTGAACGCTTGCAAACAGCTAAATATACCAAGACTCCAGACCACCACAATTATCTACCGTCTTAGAGAAATGTATTTAAGGGCTAGTTTACCGTTTTCAGGTTGGACTTTGATCAGTGTGAAACTGTAATATAGTTAAAGGACGTATTACCTTCATGATCGGGCCAGCTAAGTAATAAAGCCCTGTCTTCATGATCATGTAAAATGCTTGGGCTACCTTCCTGATTACAAAAACGAAAACAACATGAAGATCAACACAAGCTAAACAAAAAATAAGGATACAATTGCACATACATGAATGTAAGGCAACTTTCATAATTCATTATCAAATAAGTGTAAACAATGATAAACACAATTAAAAGTTACCGTTATGTCTATGTATCTCATGGCTTTTGGATACACTGTGTTCTGATCAAATGCTATGATGTCTGCACCTCGCTCCCTAAGAAGAAACTCCCAGTATCCATTTCCCTACAAAACCCGAGAAGCAACTAAGATGAGAAAATTGTAGCCTGCAAATTTGTCCTCCCTCCTTTAATGGTTTTTAAAAAACTGGCCAGCCACTTCATTCATTTTGTGTAAATTTAATTTATGTCTTAAAATGGCCTGCCACAAGTATTTTCATAAATGGTTGTCTACACAGAAAGGGCCAGCTACAGTGTATGATTATTCTGAAAATTTGGCAGGCCTGTCGGCTCAAGGGGGGGAAAGGGAAGGGGGAGGGGGTACTCAGGTATCATAGTGACAAGGAGGTGCAAAGACTTTCCAAAAATTTGGGTTTGAAATTTGGGATCTGAGGAGTTTTCTTGGGATACAAATTTGAGCCAGTGGTGACATTTTAGGGGTGAATGATATTGGTAAGGACTTTCTTGAGGGTTCTCTCATATTGTAGCAGTTTTATTTACAGATTTCCTGGTAAGACATAAACTACTGTACATGCAGATGACAATGGCTTATTCATAAGGAGTCATGTTCTGGGTAGCATTACAGAGAAAAAAAGGAAGGTTTTTTTTTAACCTGTTAGGACCATTTTGGATCTGATGATTTAGCCTCATTTGACCCCCTTCCTCCGGGAACCTGTGACATTGAAAGTGGAAATAAATGGCCTTTTCTAGAAACACCTTACAATTTCCAGAATTTTTTGGTGGCTTCCTGAAATGACTAACCCAACTCACAGTTGCGACAAGTCACCAGAACTTGGCAATGCATACACTAACTTGCAAAATAGAGGAAGGTTAGGTATCTTATATGATAAAAATATTAGTAAATGTTGAAGTCGTGTTACCCATTGAACAGTAATACTCACTGCACCTGCAGAGATAATGGGAACTTTTAAGCTCAAGATATGGTCAAGTGCTTGCTGGTAAGGAACAGAAAAAGAAAACAGGATCTGCAGTGCCTGGCATGAACTCCTGTCATCCACATCTCTAAAACAATAAAGCAAGCATAATAAAATTGACTCATCTTTATGCTGCAAGCAAGAAAAGAGAAAAGATTGGACACCACAAGAAACCTCCCAAGGTTGTGGCTGCCGAGTCGTAAAGGGAGTAAAGTTTTACCTTGCTCTTTCACAGGAACAAAATTGCTGGCTCATTTTTTTCACCATGGTAAATTTATGATCCCTTCATCAGAGAAAGGGGCATTTTGCAGGAGAAGGGGTTCATAAATTTTATGAACCCTGCCCTGTACCCCTTACCATCAGAATCCCCTTTATCGTTGGAACCCTTTGAATTCAAAATACTTCCCTAGATCCCATTCTCTCCCACCATGATTCCCATTGAATTCTTTGAAAACAGATTCCTATTGGTTCTTTCCACAGGGCTGGTGACGGTCATACAGCAAAGGGTTCGAGCGTTATACCTTATCCAGGAATTTAAAACTCTCCTCACTTGCTCGTCCTCTGAAACGTCGCAAAAGCGATGAACTTCACTTGGAGCATGTTTCATTTTCCATTTAAATATTTCGTAATAGAGTATTTCCCCGTTTCTTTTCCTCTGTTGTATCGTACTATACAATAACCTATTTGGTATCTGTGGAGGTGAAGCCGCCATTACTTAAATGAACCATCGGTACTGATGGCCAGCGTTCATTCTCTGTTGCGTAGAAACTACGTCACGTGATGGGACTCGCTTGCACGCAACTTCGTTTGAAGCCGCCATTTTGAGCAGTCGGTTTCGCTCTGAGGTGTTCCTGTTTTTACTACAATCGTGCTCTTCGATTTAATCGGAATAACTTGAGCGTCGTTGAGAAACGTTTCTTAGTCTTTTAATTGGCGTTCAAGATTGTTTGAGTGTAAAGTTTTGCCGTTTTAAATCATGAGCTGCCGTGTTTATTTAGGAAGACTGCCCTACGGTACGAGGGAACGCGATGTAGACAAATTCTTCCGCGGTTTCGGAAAACTGCGAGAGATCAACTTGAAGAACGGATACGGATTTGTGGTAAGGTGTTAGAATCTACCTAGTTTACTTTTTTTACATGTTCCTAATTTAATAGTGAATGCAGTTTTGTGATAGGAATGTGTTGATTGTTTCTCAGAGCACATGGTCGAAAATGGGAATCTTGAATAAATTAGTCATGTTGATTTTGGTCATTGAACGCCCCACATCTTTTATTAAAAGAATTATGGAGAATGAAAACTTTGCGGTTAGCAGTGTCGTTAAATTTGTGCATATCGTGAAAGTTTACGCATAGCGGTAGACCTAGATTTCGTTCAGAACCATGTAGCTTATTTGTAAAAGTTCTTGAGAACGTTACGCCATTTCGTGAGCACGGCTAGTTCAGTTTTAGCAAGTTCATTGTTTGTTTTTTTGTTCATTGATATGCATACCACTATGATAACCAAAAGTGCCCACATATTAAGCAGGTGTCTGTATTTAGTGAACTAGTGAAAATGTGACGTTTTCTGCATTTTCCAGGAATTTGAGGACTCCAGAGATGCTGATGATGCTGTTTATGAATGCAATGGAAAAGAAATGATGGGAGAAAGGTAAGCAGAGCAAAGAATTTCTGAAACAGGATACTCTGAGTGGTTGGAACTTTACAAGAAATGTTCTTATCCCATTCAGTTTAGTTGCTTTCAACTCACTTTATAAGCCAGGAGGTTGAGCTTCTTGAAAAGTAGCATTACTGTGTCACTCATGTAATTAATATGTTTGTTATTCACTAGGAACCTAACTGTATAAGAATTACTGTCTGTTAGTTTTATTTACAGACATTTGATTTTAGTTTCTATTTGTTTCAGAATTCTTGTGGAACATTCTCGAGGAACAGCAAGAGGCTTCAGTGGTGGTCGCAAGTCAAGGGCCAGAGATAAGTGAGTGCAGTGAAAAAAAAAGAGACGCATTCTCAGGGGATTAATTTATGGGCTGGCACCACAAAGTGACCGGCTGTCTGGATGATTTTGCCTGTCTGGTTTGAAAATCTAGGGGGAAGTTTTTCTGGTGGAGAAGTTAGTTCAAAAAGTTTTTTCCACTTGTACAAACCATTCACCTTCTTGCTGAAAACCTTCACTAGGCTCCTGCATTCAAGCTTCCTAATTACTTTGTCATTATTATTTATAGAGTAATTTTCACTGATACAGTCAAATCTTGATAATAATGGGTCATTGGAACATGCAAAAGTGGTAATCAAGTAATGAATATAAGTGAACCAGAACTGAGAACCACACAGAAAGAGAGGCAGTTAATTGAAATGCCCAGAAAATCAAGATTTGAACATGGAATTCATAAGATGAGATATCCCTTCATCCACCCCTGTCCTCTCTATCTCCTGGTTCAACCCTTCAAGCTGTTCTATCAAATAACTGAAAAGCAAGTAAGAATTGGTTTTGTTTGTGCCAATGCTAGGTACGGCCCGCCTGTAAGAACACCCTGGCGCATCACTGTGGAAAATTTATCGACACGCATCAGTTGGCAGGTAAGTTCAGGATAGGGAAGTAAGTTTTTAAACAGAATGTTTTGTTACTTGTATCACCAAGCACTAAAAGATAAAACTGGGTCATGAGTGATGGCATTATATGTGAAGGTAGAAAATCATGTACAGTATTTCATTGGTTTTCATTAATGGAAACCGGAGATAAGGTTGGCCTGCTGGACCTCTTGGCCCATATTAAGATTTTAGTTTTAGCTTTCATTAGTTTAACTTAGATTATTGTACCTTTTTGTCCATTATTTCTTTTAGTAAAACTAACTGACAAAATTGTGTAGTCAGGCTTCTGTCATATATTTGTTTTCAGTTCCACATTGCTCTGCTTGAAATACATGTAGTCTAAACTACATGTATTTACAGGAGAATTTTGTATTTGAAACAATTTTAATGTGTTTGGAAAGAGTCTTTGGACATAAAACATTAGTATCTAGCACACTGAAAGCAAGCTGGTTAAATTCTAGTCTTGATAAGTATTCATAGATTGCCTTCAAATATTTTCAGTTGCAAGACGCACTTGTCATGAGGGTTGATGTGAGGGTAGTCACAGATGCTTAGATGATTGAAACTAGAAGCGTTCACCTCTGATGGATGAGTGGTTTTGATGCTCAGATGCCATCAGAAGTCAATACATACAGTCATGACGAGACGAGTTTTCACAAAGGCATGAGGCAAAAACACTTCTTGGCCAATGACGATTGATGCGTGCACCCTGTGCATTGTAAATCAAAGATGCTGGACCCCTCTGAGATTATTAGCTGTAGTATTTCAATTTCTCACAGTGATATGGTGACCCTGTTATTTCTTGATAACTGACTGGGCAAACCAGAATTCAATCTTCCTGGCTAATTTTTGGTTACTCCATAAAGAGCTTCTGTTCAAATGAAAATGTTTAAGTTAAGCCAAGTTGCAAATGATATGAAAGTTCCTTTGACAGAGCTCAGCTACTTCTAAAGTCTACCATTAAATATGTCAAGGTAACTTAATATTAAGGTAGTAAATCTTGTGGTTATAGTAAATAAGCCTTTAGAAATGGACTGTGTTGGTTTACAAACTGTACCTTATTAATAGGACTTAAAAGATTATGCACGCCAAGCTGGAGAGGTGACTTATGGAGACGCCCACAAACAGAGACAGGGAGAGGGGTAAGTTCTTTGATGTTGTAACACCGAGTTAGGGAAGTTTGTATGGTGTGATCATCCTGGTGAGGGTAGTTCTGAAAAGAGTTGTTATTGCTGACTGACGTTTCGACAACCTGAGTGGAAGTCATCTTCAGAGTCAGTGGATAATGTTTGTCAGTTTTTCATTCTAACAAGGGTCTGCTTTTGACTTTTTAGCACCTTAGAGTTTGCAACCAAGAGAGACCTAAAAAATGCAATAAGGAAACTGGACGGCACTGAGTTGAATGGAAAGCGCATCAGGCTTGTTGACGTAAGTGTATCCATAGCATTTCTGTTAGAACTTGGTGCCTTTATTTCAAAGTCACTATTAGAGCTTTTTTAGCACATGAAACAATTTCCTTTCTCAGTGTACATGTAGTGAGAAGCATGCAATCTATCACCTCAAATTCACACACTTCTCTATGATATTTTCCCAGTATGGTACTGTGCAAGATGGTTAAAATAAGAGGATTATTTCACATCTTTGTGTTTCAAAAAGAACTGTAGAAACTTAACCAGGTCTAATAAATTTAATTTATCCTCTCCACAGGAAAGCCCAAGATCTCGCTCTCGTTCACGATCAAGGAGCCGATCGAGATCGAAAAACCGCTCACATTCCAGGTCTCGTTCACGATCACACCACCGCCGCTCTAAGTCAGCATCACGCTCCAAATCACGATCTAGATCACCACGACACAACAGATCGCACTCCAAGTCACCCAGGCATTCAAGGTCCAGGTCCCGTTCAAAGTCGCGATCTCGATCAAAATCCCCACAGAAGTCCAGGTCTCGATCACGCTCTCGCTCTCCTTCTCGATCACCAAGAAATGAAAAAGCTGGCTCTCCAGAACGTGAAGCAGACGAGAATCAGAATCACAATTCGGCAGATGTTGACGCTGAGCCGCAGTAAGCTGAACAGTCCTCCCAGGCTTGCGAACCTTTGATAGAACTCTATCTAGAGATTCTCTTGTGAGACATTAGTTTCTTGCAATCATTCTATTTATATACAATCACAATACATTTTGGCTTTGCCTTGATAGTATGTCCTTCTAGTTTTAAGGGTTGTTGCACTGTCTGTTGTTTTTAGAATACTTGCTGAAAGCATTGATTTGTAAATCCCTATATCTGAATGAAAATTTAACAGTTTTGTTTTTATCTCACTTTCCTTAGTTGTAATGTGATTTGTTCAGATCAAATTAAAGATTTTTCATTCATTTCCAGAAGACTTGAAAGGCTTGCTTCTTGCAATGTGTGTGCACCTAGTTGTCTATAAAAATCACATAGTGGGCAAATGTTGGTTGGAAAGAATTTCGCAAAGAGCTGAACCAGAAACGCTATTAATCTGTGTTTGCTAGAGTACAGAGAAACAATATTATTTTACCAAACAGAAGGTTGTGTACCATGTCCTAAAAAAAAATGTATGCTTGAGGTACTGTATAGAAAAATCACTGTGAACACAAGTAAGATACAATACATGTACAAGTGCATTCAGCAGTTTTTCTAGGCTTCAAAAGTGCATGATTTTCTTAGAAAACAGGAACACTATCTTCTATTTCGTTTAGAATATAGCATGAAAAAGCAAAAAACAATTGCATTTGAGAAGGGACGGTGATTGCATTGGGAACACAACATTAGGGACATAAGTGCTCCAGCTATGCATAGCTCATCTCCAGAGTATGCCACAGCCATATTCGAAAGAAGATAAACTCTCAGCACCTTATTCTGGTTCTTTGACATACTGTAAAGCGTAACAACCAGTTCCTCAGCATTACATGTACATCTTAGTTGCCCTGACTCCTTATTATCTACACATATTTGTACTCTTGGATGGTGAGAAGCATTGAAATAATATGAAAAATAATCTTATCCAAGAACATATGGTGGCTGTGGAAGGGGCTGAAACTGAACTGCTCGATCGGGATTCCAAGCCACGGAGCATTAGGCCACACAGACAAACTAATTGTAGACTGTATTATTTTGAAGAAAGTTTTTTTGTCATTGTTTAAAAACCTAAATTGTGCTGCTAACCATATAGATGGCCCAGGCTTTGCTCACCTTTTTAATGATATTAATTTTGTACTACTAAAGTATATTGGGCAATAATATATGGAGATAAATGCTCTTTAAAATAAATAAAACTTTTATTTAAATAATCTTTCATATTACATATGAAAAGGTTAAGCATTGTTTTTCAATGGCAACTTGCAATTTCCTTAGCAATTTTGTGAGGGGCTGCACTGAAAATCAAGTAATCTTTAGCAATAAGGAACTATCTTCTTACAAAACCTTAAGGTTATGCTCTGTAGTCTGACAACAAGTTCATCCCAGTATCAGCGGGGTTAAATTAAGACGAGGCTGTCTACTGCACCCCCCCCCCCCCCCGCCATTCTCCCTACTTCCCCCCGGCTCTGCCACTATGTTTTTTCGTCACGCAAATTTGAAGCCAAACATTTTCGTGACCAATAATCCCAGAATTTAGGAATATGGTAGCATCTCGGGAACTTAAATACAGGAGCTTGTAGAGGGGGGCTCATTAGTCCAGTCCTGGCCCTCTCTTTGTCACGCAACGCTAGAACTATTTCTGCTTTTCGGAATGAGTACATGTCACGTAAACTTTGCCGACCATCTTCGAGAGACAAGGTTGTACATTTTATACCACCTCTCTCCAACTGGAAGCTTACTCTTGAAAACAAATCCTTGGCAAAACCTCTAAGTCAAATAGTAGCTGTATTGACGAATTTACTGTCAGCAGTATGTGGTCATCTCGCCTTCTATTAGAGACGATGAACTCACGGTGCTGCTTATAGTTCTTGATCTCGATGACTTATCCCCTCCCTGAAATGAAAAGTGTGTTTGTTTTAATTGTAAGCTAGCTTATAGCTTTATTGCAACTTGCCGGGGGAGGGGGGGAGTGATTTATTTTGTACTAAGTACGTTAACATCGTTATTTCCGCGTTAATCTCAGTGCGGTGAATTTTTGGGCAAGTGCAAGTGCTTGACACCGAAACACATCGCTCTGATAACTTACAGATTGAAAACATGTCTGGCACTTCTGTGTACGTTGAAGAGACAGCCTGGTAGCTGAAAAAAGGAACGTGAACATTGATATTCAACTAACAAAAACGAGGAAAGGCTGCGCGTTTCAGTATCTTCTTCCTATCCTACAAGAAGGCCCCTTAGAAGGGGCACTGTTACGGCGATTTTGCTGGCTTTTTAGTCAAAATGTTGTCAAAATTATGATTAGATGTGACTGACACTAAACGCGTATAGAACACCAAGCTAGATCAGATTTTAAGTGAACTATTGAAGGTAGAGAAAACCACTGTTTTTAGTTTTTTCAAGACACAAGCGCGGACTTTGAAATGTGAGCCCGTCTTTTTCACGTTACAACCTTCATGTGTCCAACTCAGTAATAAATGAACAACTTCTTTGTAGCTTATTTTTAGGTTTCCGTCGATGTAAATTATATGTTCATTGGCTTTTAGAAACTTTACGGCAAATACATACTCATGACGGTGTTCCCTTAAGATGAGTTCTTCACCGCTAATGAGAGCTGTGGTAGAAGTCGGGCTAGATATTTAATGTGTTTACAAACTATTGGATGAAATTTCTAAATACGCAGGCATCGCGGGGAGGGGACGGCCGGGGCTGAAATAACTCTCCGGCTTACCTCGGTTTGCTCCTGAAGTTGTCTTATAGTCTGCTCTTTGATGAAATTTTCTGACTCCAAATCTTTTACTCGACATTTCCATTTTTCAAGTTCTTTCTCCTGAGCAAAAGAAAATTGTGACAAAATTAGCACGTCCGAAAGCAATTCATGATCTTGGGCCTTGATATGATTCTTTAGAAATTAATCTAATGGGGTGAAACTAATGATTGTAATTTTATTTGTCCGTTTTCTCCTTGGTTTTAGTTCTGATTGAGAAGATATATCCGATCACTCAAGACAGTATTTGACAACATTTCTAAACACCTCGAAGTTCGTCAAGAATACTCCGCTACGTGTCGTATTTTCAACTCTCTTCTCGGTGTTTGGAAATGTGGTAAAACACGGTCTTTCGTGTTTGATATATTACTTCAAGAGAGTATAAACGACCCCAAGAGAGAGCTCCAGGAAAACTGCTGTGTGATTTTATTTTTAGATCATCGCAATCGACACCAGTGCCCTGCGAACAGGCTGCGTGTCGTGTGAATGTGTCTTGAAGAATCAGCTGGGTTTCTAATTTGACCAGTAGATTGAGAATGAATGTTAAATAATGCTAAGGTCCTAATCTTGCGGGTTGATCTTAGAATAACGATTTCCATCCGGCTTCGATCTTCCTTCGTGTCTCTGGCCACTTACCGTATTTATTAACCGGCTTTTTAGGTGAGAGATTTGCTGGTCTTTTTGTCTTGAATCTTCTTCAATGTTCTTTAGTGTGCTATTGACATTACTTACTTCTTTTACCTTAAATGGAAAGAATTAGCAAAGTTTAAATGATCCACACACACACACACAAAACCACAACCTAGCCTGCGTAAACAGGGAAGGAGTGGGAGAGGACTGGGGGAGTCAAAAGTCGCGAGAAAGAAGGAGAAGGAACGTGTTCTTTCCTCTCTCCCAGTTCCCAGTTCTTCCATCCCTGTTCTCCCCCTGCCCCCCTGCCCCGTTTTGCTCCTGCTAAGTAGGCGGCCATATACAGATTTCCATGACCAACCTACTTCTCAAGTCTTTTCCAATATCTAAGGGAAAAGCCCTAGGAGAAAGCTTGGCTGCATACCAAGCTATGCATTTCCCACAGAGGTTCACTTCTCGTTTTAAATTACTGAATGTTCCCTTAACACAAACATGACTTAAAAATTAACTGACTTGAATATTAAAGTTACTCTTGCCGTATTGACTGAATTTCACGCGGTGCTCAAAGAAACATCTTCGGGAAAGAACACAAGTAGGGAAAGCTTTCAGATTACTTGCAGGTCTTTCAGAGTAAAGGACACTTTTTTAACAACAACAAAAAACGAAGGCTGAGCGGCAAAGTGAACCGGGACCCATGAAGATAACTTCCCGTTTGTACTGACCGGTTTCTTTTATTTTATAATGGTCATTGTGTGAAAAATAAGTCGGAACCTGATCGGGATAATAACAACACTTACCAGCTTCTGGTCATAAGCTTTCTTGAGAAGGTTCAACGCCTCCATACACGAATTATTAAACATCTTTGTTAGAAGCTCGTCGCTGCTGCTTGGCGTTTCCTCGGAATTATCTTTACTGCAAGTCTCCGCAAGCTGTATTACCGCCTCGCTAGAAAGTCTTCTTGATCTGCTCAATTTAGCCAGAGGAATCGGCTCTAAGACTGCTCGACCTGACGGCTGCTGAGAAGCGTGACCGAATGACAAGCGTGGTCTCTTGTAATGTCCGTTTGGAACACAGTTAGCTGGTGATAAACTCAGGAGGTGATGTGTCTTCTGAGCGAGTAAGTCACTGTCCGTGTTATCATTAGCGTCAACATTCATGCTTTGATTTTCTCTCCCACTGTCGTCCATATCCACAAGGCGTGGATCTTGACAGCTGTTTTGTCGCTCCAGACGTTTCTTACCATATTCGGCAAGGACGGCCTACGGTGAAAAATATTAAGATGGAAAACAAACTGCTTTTGAATTTCCCAGATGGAGACACCTAAGGGGTTACGGTTACAGGCACCCTATTTAAATGGGGGTCCATAGTTACATGACCCTCACAGGAGAGGCCATTGTTATATGGCTCCTTGCAGGACTGGAGGTTCACATCCCATGACATGACATGGCACTGTGGCATGGCCAAAGCCACAAAAGTCGACCTAGTGTAGTCAACCTTGGAGCAGTTGTGACAAAGTGGGAGTAATGTAATTGTTGTAAGGAGTAACATTACAAGGTTTGAAAGCACACTAACACTGTACTGGTACAAAAGTAGTTAAACTTAAGCCGACGAGTCCAAACGCTGCAAAGCTTCACAAACGTACATAATTTAACGAATACGTGAACAAAATGGCAACAGTACTAAATCAAGTCACCGATAAGAATGCCACAGCTCTTTAGGGTGTTACAGGTGACAATTAAGTTAACAAAATAATAGTGCATTTTTTTTTGTATTAGACACTAGCTAACCAAAAGACAGCAAATAATAGCTAGCTGTGTAACAATAGTGCGCGCAACATTTAAGATTCTTTCTTACCACGTTCTTATACGCTAAATGAACAAACGCGCAAGTTATGTCGCTGTTCTGGAAAGATATAAAGAGTTATTTTTTAGAACTAGAAAATGAAGCTTGTATATTTTCTCGTCCCCAATAATGTTTCGGCGTTTTTTTTTTTTTTTTACCTGCGCCTCGGGGTAGTCTCTGATGGCGGACAGAACATCTCCCTTTGCAAGAACGAAACACTCCACATATCCTATAGTCCGCACGTCGGCTGTTCGTCTGCGGAGAAAACACAGTATAAAATTTAACGTGCCTCGGTAAATTATAACTCGGTTAAACCAGGTTAAGCGCCTTCAGGACTATTCGTACTCTGTTTAGATGGGATGCTTGGCCTCGATGGTGCCTCAGTGCTTTAAATTATTGGCAACCGGGAAATCATCGTCGCCATAATATTAACCCGTCTTACCCATAGACGTCAGAGTTTTTTACAACCAAAGTGCCGCGCTCCATCCAGAGGTAAAAATGGATACTGACAGACTGTTTAGGCAACTGAGATAAAAATAAAAGTAATCCTAGAGGGAATTTCTCAATGGACAAAGATCTGTTTGCTTTATACGAAAGAATTCGAAGAGAAGCCCAGCCGTGTGGTTCAGAAGGCTGTAGCGCTTTTTTCTGCACTTCATTCTTCAAAATGTTTTACATTACTTGAAGAAAGTTTCGGACGTTTTATTTTGGACACTTTTTATCTCCGGCATTTCAGAAAAATTTCGGACAAAAATTTCGGACACTTTGTTGAAATATAACTAAAGTAACTTTAGGCCTACAAAACAAGAGTTTGACTGAAACAACATTTGTGAAATGACAGTTTTACTGCAGCCTCAAGGCTTTAGAGATGCACCGACGAGAACGTAACACAGATTATATGAAGTCGTTACGTATGTCAAGCAGTGTCTCAACTAGAGTTCGTTCCTTAAAGCCCGGCATAAAGGAAACTAGGAACTTTGAAGCTACTTCAAAGTTTTATACTGTAATGTAAATATTTCGGACGCTTAAAATTTCCCACGGTTTCTTTATCGGACACTTTTTTTGGGCCGAAATCATGTTAAGTCGTCCAAACTTTTTTGCAATTAATGCATTCTGCTCTCACCTGTTTTGACCTTCACTCAAACTGAGAATTCCAATCTCACCGAAGAAATCTCCACCTGAGAGAACTTTGAGTACTTGGCCTTGATCTCTGTAAATATCGTTATATTTATAAATCAATAACAATTGTTCAATGCTTCACGAAAAAAAAAAAAATTTTAGGAGCATTTTTTGATCATTCCTACCCTATAACCTCGATTTTTCCGTCTATTATGACGTACATCTCTCGCGCAACCTCCCCTTTTCTGCAAACGAGGTCGCCTGGGGTGAATATTCTCAGCTTCATTTGCAAGACGAGGTGGTGCAGAAATTCCGGTTGACATTTTTGCAAGAACGTCACCTTAGAAATTAAGAAATGGATCATCAAACAATAGCAAGATTGAATATGTAATTACAAAATTCTCAGTTCACTTTCGATGCTTAGAAGACCCTGGCAGGACTTGATGCTGTCGATCGAGGAGCGGATTTTTACCACGTTTTTCCAGGTTTTCGCAATCAACAAAACTACACGATGACATTAAGGCCCCGTCCACACACTACTCCGGAGAAGTTTGAAAACGAAGATTTAACTCTGATCTGGAAACTCATCAAATGTTATCGGTCCACACTACGGGTCATTTTGGATTTGTGTTTGAGGAAAATACTGGCAGGAACAGTCACGTGATTATCATGACGTCATCGTTCTCGAAAAGCTCCACTTTTAGTGCAGAGTGCACTATTGGGATGGTTTAGGGGGCTGCTGTTCGCTAAGACACTAACTCGCTAACGCCATAAGGTGTAAACTTTAATGTTTGTTTAATTAATTAGTTTCAATTAATCAATTAGCCTTGCGGGAAGGGGGGCTGGGTGCAGTAGGTACCCGAGTGCACTACGCAAAATGTGTCATATTTACGTTGCCTTCTTCGATAATATGGCAAAAATATATATATGGTTTTGCAAATCTCATGCTATCCTTGTGGTGCCATTCTCTCAAGAACAGAAGCAATTTGCTCCAAACGCATGCACAGANTGAGAGATATCCGAGCAACTTCTGTAAAAGCCTAACACTAAGCACTAACGCCATAAGGTGTAAACTTTAATGTTTGTGTAATTAATTAATTTCAATTAATCAATTAGCTTTGCGGAATGGGAGTTGGGTGCGGAAGGTAGCCGAGTGCATTACGCAAAACGCTTCATGCTTACGTTGCCTTTATTGGTAATATGACAAAAATATATATATGGTTTTGCAAATCTCATGCTATCCTTGTGGTGCCATTCTCTCAAGAACAGAAGCAATTTGCTCCAAACGCACGCGCAGATTAGATAGCGTCAAAGTCAACTATATGTTGGGTGAAAGATACATTTCATAACATACAAGACACACGTGTTCTAGCATTGCTAGTGTGATAAACACCGTTCTCGAGTTCAGATGCACAGTTTTTTTTTTGTAATGAGTGATATCACACTCTCGTTTGGCTGGGGATAACAGTTATATTTCAGGCAACGTCAGTTCTCCTTTTTTAGTACAAAGAACGTTACTGTGACTGCGTATCTTCTGAAATCTTCGCTAGCTAGATTCAAGAAATTTCGACTGTTGTTTTATAACTATTGTGTGTTTGCCAGGATTGAAATAGAGAATGGGAACATATTGCTTCTCCTTAGCAGCTTGTTTGTTTCCTCTTCTATGAAAGAGAGCCCGAAGATCATATTCAGCTGAAACTTTCCTGCGTTAGTTACATGTAAAACTAGTAAATTCGGGACAAAAGAAACTTCGTTGTTATTGCCGCAGACTCCGTGACACTTACTGAAACCTCCAATTAATTTCATCAGTCGATGAGGCGACTCGCTCACTTATGTGGGATATAATTTCGGTCAAGTAAAGATCTCTACCTTCAATACTTCTCGTTGAAACGCTCCTCAGTTGTATTACTCGCTAGCANGTGCTCAAGAGGAATATGGGTATTGATTATTACGGTATTTCTTTAATGGCTTACAATCTCTAATTTCATTGTCTGAAAATTTTATGACAACGTTGGAATTTTTCTCAAAGTTTCAACTGAAATGTCCATGTGGGCGCAAAGTTCTTTCAGCCACAAAATCTCCCGCTCAAACGTCGTGGCAATGGCCCTGCTTGGTGTCCGCGCTTTGAATGTTCCTGGCACAACAAGTCCTGGGCATAAACCGAACAATGAACGGTTACAATTCATATGCTTTAATATTTTGTCATGTTTTGTTCTTATTTATTGTTTTGTTAGAAAATAAACTTTTTACTCACTAAAAATGGTGAAAATTTAATAAGCGCCCAGCCTCGAATAAGCGCCCACCTCGAATAAGCGCCCTGGGCGCTTAATCGAATAAACACGGTTCTTAATGATTTTCCTGACTACCGTAGTTGACTATGTGTAGACAGTGAATGTAAAAGAAAATGAGATTTAGTCTCCCTTAGTTTAATTAGAGCATTTTTTTAGTCGATTACAAAGAGAGTCCTTGGTTAATTTTACTGGTTTACCTTTCTCAGAGTCTCAAGATTTACATGCAGGGCAATCTCCGTCTTCAGTTTGTTTGGTAGAAGGGTGAGAGAGTTCAGATCTCCACCTCCAGTGCTCATTCGGCCTCTGGGATAGAAAAAAAAATTAATCAAAGTGCTCTGTGAGCAAACTCGTGAATTGAAGAGGTGAACACCACAACTATAACACTTTTAAAAAAAAGAAAATTACAAACAAAAATTCCCCAAACACTCATTATACAGATAATTCTATAATTAATTTCCCACCAACAACAACTCGTAAAATTCTATCGCAATTCACGAGTTAAAAACGGTAATGTTAAACATTTCATGCGTCGTCGCTGAGATCTCTGAGTACACAGCCTTGTACCGGATATTGCCATACAATTAGATTATGAGCACAACGCCCTGGCCGTGTTGGCTACTATGGAATTCGACAGAAACCAACAGCGTTAAATCAGTAGACAAAAACTTTTTTTTCTTTTTGGTTATGTCGCGGAAAAAAGCCCATGTAATAATTATCCATCGATAGACGACACTGACTTGTCTACGACTTGCCAGTCGTCGGCAGTCAGTCAGTCAGTCAGTCAGTCAATCAATCGGTCAGTCAGTCAGTGAGTCAATCGGTCGGTCAGTCAATCAGTCAGTCAGTCAGTCAGTCAGTCAGTCAGTCAATCGGTTAGTCAGTCATCGCGTTTGTAAGAAAACAAACAACAAACAAACCATTGGGAAAATCGTATCTTTCTGCCAATGAGTTATATATTTCTGCTTAACCTACCCCTCCTTCTGTCTGTCTGTCTGTCTTATGAAAAAAAAAACACGCCACTGTAAGCTTGTTCCCTGATTTTATTGAAAAGCTATGGCTTGCATGCAAAACGAAGCACATTGGTCTTCTACCTTGTATACAATACACGTTCTCTGTTTCTATCGAGGACCCTGTGCACAAGGCTGAAGTCGACACTGCTAAATTGCTTAACTATCCATGAAATTAACTCTCACCTGGCCCAGGAATAGTCATACCACATCACCACTCGTCTTTGCAAGTCCTTCGGTACATTATGCTTCTTCATATACTGTTTTGTGTTTTCCTGCCGGGGTGACAGAGGTTATTAACGACCTGATGTGAAATAAGCGTTACTCTGTACTCTTTCGTCAGAAAATAGTCGATAGAATTACTCACCCTTTGTTTCTCGAAGTCCATTCTCACCGCATTTCTGTTCACAATAATGCTTCCTGCGTTACCTAAAGAAAATACATAAAACCATTACGAGGAAACCTTTTCGTGGCCTGCATGAACATACCGTGCGTGATTATTGTCGATTACGTCACGGGTTTTGCATCACGCTAGCTGGCAAACTGAGAACGTAGTTCAGTACATCAGGAGCACACCCATTGAATTAGTGAAGCTTACCTACGATAGTGGCAAACATGAAAACACCAGTCAAGTAACAAGCGATGGTGTAAACATATCTGAAAAAAGGTAAAGTATTTAAAATTATCGAAAGAGCAGGCAAAAAAACTACTATCAAATGCCCTAGCAGTTTATAAAGCAGGTAGTTTCTCCTAAATTCGTTTGAACAAAGTGACAAGGCGTGTCTTGATTTGATCTCTCCATAGTGGGTTAGAGATCTCGCGTGTTGTGAAATCAAAACTGATTATAATAGCCATTTCAAGCCAGTCGCAACAAACACGAACAGGCAGTAATGCAGCAATCACAGCAATG